CTTTCAGAATATGTTTTATTTCGACAAAGTTACGGTCTCTGTAGAGTTTTAAAAGTCATGACTATGAAGGTAAAGATAATTTTCAGAACTAGTTTTCATGGTGACAACGTTTCGCTTGATGTAGTGCTCTACACAGAGCAGAATGTTGTCTCACTGACAGCTTGTTCTGAAACCTGTCCTTACTTTCATAGTTCTAGAATGAAAAACGTTTAAAAGGCTTCTGTTGCAGGACGGTGGTGACTTCCTATATAGTTGATGCCTACCAGTCTGCTGCCTCACCTCGAATATATTCGTTATATAATATCCGCTTTTGTTTGACATGTAACAGAAAATTTATTTGTAATAAGCGTGACGCCATACAAGATACTGAGAGTCATTGACGGGGTGAGCAGGGAGAGTGTTGGATCTAACAGGAAATTGTATTAGGAAACGCAGATGGAAACTGAAATTCCATTATTATTATTATTCTTGTTGTAGAAAAGCGTTAAACCCATAGAGGTCAAGACCCGCGGCGCGGTTGGCAACGCTCTCGTCTCGCACACTGAATGTCCGTGGTTCAATCTCCGGTATGGGTGGAAATGTTGGGCATGTTTCCTTACACCTGTTGTCCCCGTTCACCTAGCGATAAGTGGATGCTTGAGTGTTAGTCGACTGGTGTGGGTTGCATCCTGGGGGGACAAAGACCCCCCAATAGAATTAAGACAGATAGTCCTCGTTGATGCATTGACTTTCTTGGGTTAACTTGTTTTTTTTTTATTTTAGTTTAGTTTAATGTTTATTATGCACACCATACCCATCCTGTGGGGGGTAGTCAAAAGATTACAGAGGCACATAATGGGTCTAGGGGCTGGGCCCCAAAGCTTTGATAGCTGAGCAAGTTATAAACGTAATGAACTCCAGGTAGATCTGGTTGGATGGCTAACCCTCCGGATTAAAAATCTGAACAGATCTTATTATATCTTGTCTTCTGCAGAGAACCCTTCAGTGGAAAATGCCGTGATCCTGCTGCAGTTGATCCTGTCTCCCATGAGCATCTCCGTGGAGTTTTCACATACGCACCAGATGCCTCGGTTAGGTTAGGTTAAGTTAGGTTACTCTAATTATAACATTCCACAACATAAAAAAATATAAATATGAGATAAAGTCGGTAAAAAGTCCTGTCGCCGAAGAGAAAATGGGCAGCCACTGAGCGGGGAAGTTACAACTATTATTTCAAATTTTCATTGTTTAAGACGTCTGCTTTTGTTTTATACAAAATTGGATGCATCAGCAGTGTGCTGCTGTGCTGTTCTATATGACAGTTACATTGTGGAGAACAAAAGCTGACAGTGTTCATCATATTCCATCACGCAAGATGGAGTTCATACGAGTTGAAATCTGTCAGCCCGAGGTGCGAGACTTCAGTAGTGCCAGCCTGAGCTTCGAGACTTCAGTAGTGCCAGCCTGAGCTTCGAGACTTCCGTAGTGTCAGCCTGAGTTGGGAGACTTCAGTAGTGTCAGCCTGAGCTTCGAGACTTCAGTAGTGTCAACCTGAGCTGTGAGACTTCAGTAGTGTCAACCTGAGCTGGGAGACTTCAGTAGTGTCAACCTGAGCTGGAGACTTCAGTAGTGTCAACCTGAGCTGTGTGACTTCCGTAGTGTCAGCCTGAGCTGTGAGACTTCAGTAGTGTCAACCTGAGCTGTGAGACTTCCATAGTGTCAACCTGAGCTGCGAGACTTCAGTAGTGTCAACCTGAGCTGCGAGACTTCAGTAGTGTCAGCCTGAGCTGTGAGACTTCAGTAGTGTCAACCTGAGCTGTGAGACTTCAGTAGTGTCAGCCTGAGCTGTGAGACTTCAGTATTGTCAACCTGAGCTGGAGACTTCAGTAGTGTCAGCCTGAGCTGTGAGACTTCAGTAGTGTCAACCTGAGCTGCGAGACTTCAGTAGTGTCAACCTGAGCTGCGAGACTTCAGTAGTGTCAACCTGAGCTGCGAGACTTCAGTAGTGTCAGCCTGAGCTGGGAGACTTCAGTAGTGTCAGCCTGAGCTGGGAGACTTCAGTAGTGTCAGCCTGAGCTGGAGACTTCAGTAGTGTCAACCTGAGCTGGGAGACTTCAGTAGTGTCAGCCTGAGCTGGGAGACTTCAGTAGTGTCAACCTGAGCTGGGAGACTTCAGTAGTGTCAGCCTGAGCTGGGAGACTTCAGTAGTGTCAGCCTGAGCTGCGAGACTTCAGTAGTGTCAGCCTGAGCTGGGAGACTTCAGTAGTGTCAGCCTGAGCTGCGAGACTTCAGTAGTGTCAGCCTGAGCTGGGAGACTTCAGTAGTGTCAACCTGAGCTGGGAGACTTCAGTAGTGTCAGCCTGAGCTGGGAGACTTCAGTAGTGTCAACCTGAGCTGTGAGACTTCAGTAGTGTTAGACTGAGCTGGGAGACTTCAGTAGTGTCAGCCTGAGCTGGGAGACTTCAGTAGTGTCAGCCTGAGCTGGGAGACTTCAGTAGTGTCAGCCTGAGCTAGGAGACTTCAGTAGTGTCAGCCTGAGCTGGGAGACTTCAGTAGTGTCAACCTGAGCTGGGAGACTTCAGTAGTGTCAACCTGAGCTGCGAGACTTCAGTAGTGTCAGCCTGAGCTG